ATACACCCAAGAAGTTAACAAAACAAAGAAACTTGGTTTTGGTACACACAACCTGTACACCTTCACTTAGATTGACTCAGGCTTCAGAAATTCAGAGACAAATCTTTAGTAAAAATACTTATTATGAAATCTGAATTTTCACATAAACAAACTTGTAGCGTTTCTAAAAGCTTGCCAAGTTTTGCGAAGACTCACATAGTAAATTCAGAATTATATTTAATATAACATGCATATTTTAAAAGATATGAGGTTGGTTAACAAGACTGAGTTCACAAACAGATGATTAAAGAGGATGTTTATAATATAGTCAAATTCTGTTTACTGTGTGGTCTACTAAAATAAACAACTTAAGCAGCTAACAGAATAACAAAATTTCAGAGCCAAAGAAACTGTTCATTATACTAACTAGGACCAATCATTCCTAACTCTTCCCTGTATACCGTACTTCAATCCATAAGATTTATTAAGATGTTAATAACGATTTCTAGAGATCATGGTCAGACAAAGTTGTTAATACCTTTAACTTACCTCAAGAAACTTCCCGTCAGCACCAACTAAAATTACAGTCGCCTCAATGTTTTTTCCTGTCGATTTTCCTCCTCTTTCAAACTCTGCTTTCTCAAGTTTCAGATATATATCATTTCTTACATCTCCTGTGAATTTAATGAAAAAATACACTTAACATTTGGTATAACTTCATTTGGAAATATCAAACAAGGTTCTTTAATTTCATCTTGAGTTATTTAAAAATTCAAATATAATGAACGGTTACTTGTGATCTGTCCAACCTATCTTTTACATGTACAGACATGTTGTGCCTAAATGAAAATAAAATAAAGAGTTACCAAAACTGACAATATCAAAAACTTAAAAAGTTAAATCACATTTCTTTTTCCTTAAAGGTCACTTCATAATACAGTTTGAATCATTGTTTCTTTGTTTGTAGTTAAGCACAAAGCTACACAATGAGCTATCTGTGCTCTGCCCACCACGGGTATCGAAACCCAGTGTCTAGCATTGCAAGTCCGCAGACATACCGTTGTGCCACTGGGGGGAAATTTGAATCAAATAACTTATTTAGCTATGACTATCAAAACTTACTTCAATATTCAAATTCATGATCTCACGGAGAGTACAAGTGTTCATTATTAGAAGCTGTGAAAAAAATCTAGAAATCTAGTAATTAATCCCACCTTCATTTTTAACTATGTTCAGGAAAATCAAACTTACAGATAACCTTCAAAATCTGTATTACAGATTCTAATATTTACCTGGCATTATCACATCTGAAAAACTACATTTATAAGTGACGACTAGGTTTGTCTTTAGTGTATTACAGATTCTAATATTTACCTGGCATTATCACATCTGAAAAAACCACATTTATAAGTGACAACTAGGTTTGTCCTTAGTGTATAACAGATTCTAATATTTACCTGGCATTATCACATCTGAAAAACCACGTTTATAAGTGACGACTAGGTTTGTCCTTAGTGTATTACAGATTCTAATATTTACCTGGCATTATCACATCTGAAAAACCACGTTTATAAGTGATGACTAGGTTCCTGAAAAACAGAGGATTTTCTTGGTGAAGTTGACTAAGGTCACCATGAAGGACTCTCAATGACAGTATCAACCCTGAAAAATAGTAACATGTTCTTCTGCATGAATGCGTCAACTAGTGAAGTTACATACAAGAAAATCTTTCTAAAAAAACAGTAAAAATATGAAATTCTCAATTACCATTCACAACTTTAGGATTACATAATAAAGGAACAAAAGAGTTAAATCATTTTGTTAGTTATCAAACTATAAACTGTTACACGCCACAACAAGAGAAGTAAAGTATACAAAGTACTTGAAACATCACCTCGTTCATGTTGTTAACAATGGTGAAGTACCATGAATTGTTATACATAACAAAGTGATTATGTTACAAAATAATTCATTGTGATGTTAAAGCAAAATTATGAAAGTAATACGTCATTAGCAGCTCAACACAAAATTAATAAATCCCCAAACAAACAGTAATAACACAGAACTAAATACAATACATTTTATTAGCAATGAACTAATACTGGACAAATGTACATTTAACTTCATAAATAAACATGAAATGGGTTTTTACATTCCTATCTTAAACTAATACACTTTGTATTTATTGTCTACTAACATAGTGAAAGCACAAAAGTGAATGTAAATATACAGAAAATCAATATTAACTCTCTTGCTATGAAGTCAGTCAAATCGACTGACCTCGTAACCATTTTGTTCTTGTTATAGTTTCCATACTATACCTTTTAATACTCTTTATGTATCTTCACAAAATTGGCCATACTTTTAGTAAACATTACAAGTTTTTTGTGCACAAAAAATCTGATTTTTTAAGGAAGTATTTCTACTAAACATTTGTCTGTGAATATAGATAGTATTTCTACATACTAGTCCGAGTGCTAAGTGATTTCCACGTCAAGATTAAAAATATTTTTCTTCATCTCAAAAACCTCAAATTTTATTTGCGTAATCTCTAAAATCTCCTAAATAAACTTCAAACATTTTTTTAAATATAAAACTTTATTTTATAATTATTTTCTCTTCCCTAACATTATACAAGGTTGGTCAATTTGACCGACCTTGTAACCATAAAAAAAATTGAAATAAACCTAAATTACCCTTTTTCTTTCTAGAATGATTTCATATTGTAACATGAAACTACATTTGTTTATCCTAAATAGCTTTAAACTCACAACAATATACATCTATTTACACTTAAATTTTATTATTTTATTGCTCTTTGAACCCTGTATAACTACTGTTTGTGTCATTGTAGGTTGTAAATCACTGGCAAATGTGCAGCTCACGTTACGCTATCGAATTACAATAGGTATAAGTTACTTGCAAGCATACCTCGTGAACATTTTTTATTATGTTATTATTATTCATTTCACCGAACCTACCTTAACTAACATAAAAAGTTTCCTATTTTTACATTTTAGTTACTTTTATAATAATAAATAAAGAATACACATGAAAAACACAAAAGAAAGTTCTTACCCGGGTCTTCTTTTTCTTTGGAATCGAATGTTGATGAAACTTAACCCAACTTTATTTTCTTAATACTAATGGTAGTACTACAATAAATAATTTTTTATCTAATTAAATAATGTCCAACGATTACAGAATAACTGTTGTGAAAAAAACAGACAATGTCCCATAACTATCACTATTTTTATGGCTTTCTAATCATGCAGAAAGAGCCATTAAAACTTCATCTAAGCTAATCAATGTGTTTCCCATGGGAATCATGCTTGAACTGAAAATGCAATTGACAATTATCTTTACAGAAAACTAAGTAATATAATAGGTTATTTGATAGATGAAAACCTTGGCTTTCTATTGGTTATAAGTAATATAGTATTGAACAGCATAACTATTGGTAATTTCTGAAAGAGAGTATGAGACAGGTGGGTGAGGCAAGAGAGGGCTAGTTGTCTATTTCATGGCACTGTAACTAAATAATATTGAATGCTATAAATATTATGCATTGCCTGAGCAATGACGATTTCATAACAAGTAATTTATGTTAAAGTTCATATTTTTTGGAGGGGTGGTAAATAAATTAGAGAAGAGTGGATGTCTAGAGAGCAAATGTCACAATTCTCACAGTAGGGGAAATTCTTGATTTTTTTAACACTGCCTTATAAAAGTAAAAACTTAAAACTTATATAATATTAAAATATGGATTATTAGCTACGTTTTTATGCTATATTTATTGGTGTAGTATGAAAAAAAAGTAGTTTAATTAAATTTTGAATGTAACTCACTAAAATCTTGTGACATGCACAGAAAAAGCTGTTCGTGGCGAGAGGGTTAATACCTTTTAACAGTAGCTAATTTTACAAACAGGTTGACATTAAAAACATAACATTATAATAAACGATCTTACCATAGTTGTGTTGTCCAGAAACCATACTATATTTGTTGCTTTGTTTTCTGATGATGAATTCATGAAGCTGATGAAAATCCGACTCATTACAACTACATAAAAGGGATAAAAAATAACTCGTAAGACTATTTAAGTAATAATAAGAAAACTTAAAACATTCCTATGTAAATCAAAAGAAAATTCAAAAGATGAGTCTGATCTGATGTTCCTTTGTAATGTGTAGAAGTTGTGTTTTTTTATTTTCTTTGGTAAAGTGTGGTACTTTTGTTTCTTGTGTTCCTTGGTGATGTATGGTACTTATGTTTATGTTACTTGGTAACAAGTTTCTTATGTTCCTTAGGGAAGTGTGGTATGTGTTTATGAAACTTGGTAGGTGTAGTTGTATTTCTTAAACTCTATGATTAAGTGTGATAGTTTATTTTCATCAAGTGATAATGATGATGATGCTCAATGAGAAGTTGATATAAATTGTGTTTAACAAACGCTACCTAGCAACTTTCACCTGTGACTGAGAAAAATACAATTAAAAAACTCGCAAACAACACGATTACAACAAAATATATTTCCATCAAATTTTTGTTAATTTATTAAAAATTAGGATTTCAATTTATTTATTATATTATAATTATTAGATAATATTCTTTCCTTCTTAGATAAGTTTCCTATTCTATACCACAGCTCATCACAATGTCCAATTAAGTAAAATTTCCTTATTCTTCTGAAGAAGTATGAAGATGATAGATTATACAATGAACAGTGAATTTTAATTTTTTAATATATATTTTCTGGCGATTTTTTAACATAACTACAGATTACTAGAGCCACACAGAATAATGTTTTTTACAACAGCCTTGTTTGAAAGGTTGCTCTTCACAGGTTTATAAAAATTGAAGTACTGAAATCTGGCAAAACAGTGAAAATCAGAGAAATGTTAATAAAAAATACTTTCAGTGTGGCTTGATCTTGACAAATATTAGACTTACTGGTTTTCAGTGCTTTGGTAATTTTAAGTATTCAAGACTAAGTTTGTGCTGCAAAAACAAATAGACTGTTGGCTTTCACAGTCCAGTCCAGCTTACAAGATCTGGTACTGATAAAATATCATCTGGGCAGAGACGTATGATAGACAAAAGATATTTTTGGATACTCTTGGTCCGAGCTTTGTTTAATGAATATGGAGGGGGAATATTTAGTCAAGCATATTTATAAAAGCTAAGTTGATTTTACAAAATTACAACATAGAGACTTCATACTTTTGTTTGTTGTCATACCTACACCAGAGCTGTAGTTTTCAGCAACATCCAAACTTCACGTTAATATTTTCTATACCACACACAAAAGATACTCACGTGTTAAGTTTGAAGGTAAATTCCCTCTCTTCCTCTACTGTATTTTCCTGTTTTTCCAGCAAAACATCACAGATACTCAAAACTACAGATAAACAAAAGAAATTATTTGTAACTGTCAAATATAAAAGACTGTTTAGCATAGGTAGTATTAATTAATATATTCCGTGAGTTAATATTTCATGGTTGTTTAGTTGTTTTTTTTCATAATAAGAGAGTTAATAGTAGACAATTAATGGAAGTTGTGTTTGTAAGTTACTGATGTCGAGAATACGGAGATTTCTAGAATGCCTCAGTACAGATATAAATAGTGCCAACCAGACGAGAGATCAGAGAGCGGTAAGAGAGCCAAAAGTAAAGTCAAGTGAAAGAAAGTTTCGGTCAGAGAAGGGTTAGAAAATGTAAAGTTAATCGTCTTAGGAGTGAATAGCCTAACATTTGATGTGTTAAAGTGAGATTAACAGTTTTCTGACATTTTAGGAGGATAATTTGTTTTATCAAAGGGTGTTCTAAAGCAATAGAACCTGTCTGTGTGGACTTTGACAAAAAGCAGACGATTATTTGGAAGTAGGCCTAAATACGAAAAAGCAGACGAGTATCGGAAGTTCAGGATACAACAATGGTAACTCAACGAGGCAGCGTAAGTGAATTATACCCCGATACTGTTGTGATAAAAGAAAAAGAGAGAGAAGAAAATGAATAAGTGAATTATACACTGGTAGTGTTTAAGATAAAAAAGAATAAAAATAGTACAACTTGTCAATTGAAATTCTAAAGCAATTGAATTGGCCTAAGTGGACTTTTGACAAGATAATGAAAACTATATACAGTGTAAAGAATTTGTTGTACATGTGTTTAACCAGTTCGAATATATATATATATATATATTATGTTGAAAACAAGTGGAATGCATGTTGTTCATTTATTTTTGAATTTATCACCAACAAGTCACAGACACCTACTGTAGAAGAATCCTTAGCCCAACACCCATATTATCCAACCTATTAACTAAATACTACTACTATACATAATATTAAGAATAATAAGCCCATTATTTTGACAGTAATTACCTGAGGTTTTCTAAAAAATGTTAAATTAGTCTTTTACCACTGGAAGGTGGAGTTTCTAGAGTACGATGAACAATACTAAAAACCAGAATGATTTCAATTTATTTAAATCTCTAAGAAAAATTAAACATTATTCAACTCCATTCGTAACAAATTTTTATTATCCAAAAGTGGAAAATTACCAGTTATAGTGAAGTTTGGGATCCAGATCCTGTTTCATTTTTAGATACACATTTACACATTATTTTCTGATTTGAAAAATCTTTAAAAAATAATTACTTTTAAAGACATAGTTGAACTTAGTTTAAAAATACAATAACAGCAAGTTTTAAAGTACAGAAATAGTGATTTCAATTGTTAAAACGTTTCAGTCAGGTAACAGTTTTTATTTAATGTAACATCCTGAAACTGGTCATTGAAAGGTCAAATGGTTTTCAGTACGTGAGATCTAACAAACATATCCTGTTTTAAAACAACCACTTATAATATTAAGGTTTCAGATATATTCAAGAAATCATTTGAGTAAAAGTTCCCGGAGAAGAAATAAGGGTAATGGTGAAACTGGTCTAATTAATTAATATTAATGAACAAAAACTCAAATAACCAGCAAATTTTTCAAACTTAAGTTATTACAAAATGTTCCATCGCACCAACTTTCAGGTTGCTGGACAAACACACACTCACCTCCACATCCAAATGGCCTCTTGTACATCTGACCAACTGACTTCTTTGTGTCACTCAACATTCGACCTAGTAAATTGTCAACAAAATAACTTTTACTGCGGCAGTACGACTTTCATCATAGATAGAAGATTCTCACATTATGAATAGTTTAATTGTAGCTTTCTCTCAAACAATGTTTCAGACTGATTTATTTCATCATTCCCAAAGTGAAATATCACATCTTTTATTACTATTACAAAGAACTTTCACGAAATGACCAATATACTTTTCAAAGTAATTAACTGAATATATATTTTGACAAGAAATGATGCAATAATTGTCTTCACAAAATAAAATCAATCATGGTTATTAACTAGAATATAGACAATTTTCTGTTTCATGACTATTGGATTTGGTTGCGTATTTCTTTTATAAACCGTCTGAATAGCGTCATTAGATTTTATAATAATATTCATCAAATCCATTTTTATTAGTAATTGATTTTAAGAATGTAGTATCAAATTAAGTATGCTCTTTGCTGTCTTTTGGTTTGTTTGTTTGTTTTGAATTTCGCGCAAAGCTACACAATGGCTATCTGCGCTAGCCATCCCTAATTTAGCAGTGTAAGACTAGAGGGAAGGCAGCTAGTCATCACCACCCACCACCAACTCTTGGGCTACTCATTTACCAACAAATAGTAAATTGACCGTCACATTATAATGTCCCCAGGGCTGAAAGGGCGAGCATGTTTGGTGAGACGTGGATTTGAACCCACGAGCCTCAGATTGCGAGTCAAGCACCCTAACCACCTGGCCATGCCGAGCCTGCTGTCTTTTTATTCTTCATTATCTAAAAAA